TAGAGAAACTTTGTAATTATTAAACATAAATCCAAACACCCATATTTAATTGAAGCATCCTTGTTTGAGATCCTTCATAACAACCACTCATTTTACTACACCCAAAATTTAATGATTTAGGGTTTACAATTCTAAACTTTTAATCATAATAGATGAAGAAATTAATGACGGTTGAAATAGAAAAACCCAACTACAAAAAATCTTATGAAATACAATGACAATCTTCTATTTTAACTAGAGCAGCCATAACTAAAATATTTAAACATACTAAAGTGTTTTTTGTTGATTGAAAAATACCAAAACCTTACATTACAATATATATTAAGTAATTAAAAGAGAAAATAACTAATTAAGAAAGATAATATGTGTTAATACTTAACTGTTGAGTGTTCAGGGAGCTAACAAAGTCAATAACTAATTAAGAATCCACATGTCGCAAAAAATATTTCATATAGCTATCAACTAATTAGGTGTTTATTCCTCTTTTTCTCCAACTCTTTTTCTCTCTCTATATAAATATATTTATACTTTATATCGATAATTAATGTAATAAAAAATTTACAATTAATTCTAATTCAAAAATCTATATATTTTAATTTTGATTTAAAAATTATTATCAGAATTTCAAAAGCACAATAATTAACATTTAAGGCTATTTTTTTAAAAAAATAAATTTTAATTATTAATTTTTTTTTGACACCTTTGATTACTAAAAGTTAATACATATAGAATGTGACCTCGTTTGACGGAAAACTTTTCGTAACATTTACGATTTATGATTTCCGAAATGTTATTAAAATATGTTTCAGATTTTTTTTTCTTTCTAATACGGTTCAAATTGAGTAATTGATTTCCCTGTATATAATTAATTTTTGTAAAATAAATAAATAAATTTTACACGCAATCAATTTTGGCATAACTGAATAGTAGTATATATTAATTTGATTTCAATAACATTAAAAGTTAGCTTATCAAAACGCAATTGAAATTCTTAGCATCTAAAGAGGAAGTCGATGCATAGTGGACCTAGCTAGAGAATATTTTCCTCCAATTTATAGGCGGCTTTAAAGCTGAAAAACAGGGATTTAATGTATATGAATCTTGCCTTGCCTTTTTTGTACAAGAATCAAGATCATTTTAAATATGTAATATAATAAAATAATAATAATAATAATAATAATATTGTCGGAGGATATCTCGTTTACCTTTCAATTTTGGTTTGAGGAGTCATAAATCCAACATTCAAATAATACACCATTTCAGTATAAATTAGGCAAGTGAAATAAAACGAGTTGTTTAAATTTAAATATAAGTATATTTTTAAAAATTAGACTAGTCATCAAATCGGTTAAAATATTGGATAAGTAGATTAAAAATTGAATTAATGAATTATTAATTAAATTACATGACTTGATTTTTATTAATTTTTTTAAAAAATATTGATGTTAAATATATTTTATACTTATAAATTTTAATAAATTTATATTATATTTTAAATTTTAATTTTTATCTTATTTAAAATTATCTTTATTTTTATTTTATATAAAAAAATACACAAAAAATTGCATGTTAAACTGTATATTAATATAAATTTAAAATATAAATAATATGTATATATATATATAATATTTATAATTGATATCACAAAATAATATATGTAATATCTTCATATATATTATATTATTAAATATATAATTTAAAATTAATAATATATTATAAAAAAAAATTAAGTTATAAATATTATAAATAAATACATTATAACAAGTAGACATTGTAACATTTGATAAGGTTGTTCACTCTTCTATCAACAAAGTTTGATTTCCATGTTATGCTTTTCTTTAAATTTCTTTTTAAGAGTGATGAAAATATTTCTGTAGTTGAATCGAAAAATTAACCGATTCACTTTGATTTGTATCGAGTCGAATGCACAACCTATCTAATTTAAGGCTCATACCAGTTAAACCACCGATTCCTGGTTCAACTAGTTTGATCGACTGGTTCGAGCTAATTTTTAAAAGACTACTACTAAGCAATATATGCAAAAAAAAAATTGTAAAAGAAACACAAACAAGAAGAAAAACTTTAAATAAATTAAAAATTATTCAAATAGTTTTATAAAATTATCTTAGAGAGTATAAATATAAATATACTATAAAAAATTAATATCCATAGCTAGATTGATTTTTGACTTAAAAATAAATTATTATTTTCATAATTAGCTTTATTTATTATAATAAAATGCATTTCAAATTAAATAATACAAATTATCTTGAAATCAATTACCACTAAGCAAACGAGATGATCTTGATATTTGAATCTTCTTTAGCATTGAATAACATACTTGAAAAGACAATTTTATGAAATAAAACTAGGCATGACAATGGGATGGAACGAGGGCAGGTTTTATGTTCTCCGCCTCAATACCTACTAGGGATAAAATCTGGGTACCCATCCCCGTTATGGATGGTAATGGGATCCCATGCAGGCAGGTAATAATAAATCCATTCCAGCCTTGCTGGATAAAAATTGGCACTATACCCACCTCATATCCGCGCGGATATCTATTAAGCAGATATTTATGAATTTCTTGAATACCCACGGATATCCATGGATATTTATAAATTTTTTAAGAAATTAAAAAAATTAATTACAAATAAATTTAAGTTTATATTTAATATTATTAAAATATTAAAAATAAAAATTCAATGTTAATTTTGAACTTGTATTTAATGTTAGTTTTATTGAAATAATAATAAAAATGCAAGATAATCAATCACTTAAAATACATCAATTTCACAAGCAAGTGAAAGTCTCATATCACAAAGATTAGAGAGTGTAGTTTTAAGGTTATGTGGTATAAAGATAATTAGGATATTTAAGAAGTATTATTAAATGGGTACTCGCGGGTATGGATATCATCATACCCGCCCCCGGCCCGTTTATAAACGGATAAAAAATTATCCGTTCCCATTATTCGCCCAATTAGCCTATCCATTTATTATCCGTAGCGTATTTTACCTGCAGATACAGCAGGTGCGGATATTTTTGCCATCCTTAATTCCCGTTCTCAATGAGGTTCGGATTTCCCTGCCTGCTCTCGCTCATGCTCTTGGACTCTTTTTTCTTCTTCTAATTCTAATAAATATGAAATTTTTTTTAAAAAAAGATAATACACATTTTTAGATATTAAGATTTATAATTTTGATTAATATACATATGAAATTAATTTTTTAATTATATTATTAAGCAGGATGAAAATAGGAGTAGGACGAGTATTAATATCCCTATCCTTATCCTCGTTCCTAATTTTACCAATAAGGAAAAACCCAAATCCAAACCTGATCAACACCAGATTTTCCCAATCAACATGGAATTTTCCTATTCAAAATCGGGACAACTTTGAACGGATACCTACGAGATCAGATTAGAATATCATACCTAAATAAAACATAAATATGAGATTCAATAAAACAAGAATTAATCATTTATACATCGTCAGTATAAAGTTTTTTTACACTAACAAGTGACAACTAATCATATCTTTTAATAGTGTTATGTCATTTGTTCATTTAATCAAATAAAAATAAAATAAAATAATTTAAAAAATATAATTAATTATTAATTTAAAAAACTTTATATTAATAATTTATAGATAATTAACTCATAAAACAATAACGTATCTTATACGTAACTAAACAACTTGTAGTGTGAATGTTTTTATATATAAGCAAATTTATGTCGGATCAAAGTTGTTAAATTTTTTTTAAAACAAGTAGATTAAACTTGTATAATTAAAAATAAAGAAAAATAAAAAATTAAATAGTGACAAGAATGTAATTTTCAAAGGGGAATATCTGAATGTCATCTCAATGTTAATGGCAATAGTTAGAAAACAGACGTAGCGTCAGTGATTTCCTTATTAATCTTTTCTCCTCTGATGACATGTAGAAACGCTAGGTTGTCATGTCAAAATAAGTTATTACTTGTTTGGAGTTTATGAAAATGTACAGAAGCAAAAGCAGATCGTCCTATCAACCCCCACCTACTTATCGTATTGGACCCCATTGATAAGCCCTCCCACTACCTTTTATTTATTTTCTTCCCTCTCTCTTACCTCATCCTCCTCTTTCATCTTTATCCTCTTCCCACTCTATAGTAAAACACTAACATGCTTTTTCTTATACTAAAACCATAATTTAGTCTTTTATAATATTAAAAAGAAATTAATTTAATTTCTCTTTAATTTTTTATTTTAATTTAATTTTAATTTAATTTTAAATTTTTAATGAGAGACTTCTATTTTAATTTTACAAATAACATTAAAAGTTTGAGAAAATTATATCTGTGATTTGTGATTCTTCCGGTCGAGATTCTCACTACCTATTTTCACACCTATTAATCTCAAGTGATTTTCAAGTCGTGAGAATTACAATTGTGATTTAGAATTATAGACGTGATTCTCTCAAATCTTTAACGTCATTTGTAAAATATAGACGGAATTGCATGTTAAAAATTTTAAACTAAATTGAAAAAAAATTAAAATAAAACCAAATTAATTTTTTTAATATTATCAAAAACTAAATTAGGATTTTAGCCTTTTTCTTAATTAACATTTATAAATTTCTATACATCTCATTTTATAAATCCTAAATAAAAGAATATGTATATGTACGTATCAGAGCGTTACATCATAATTTCTATTAAATAATTTTTATTCATTGTGCATAAATTTTCTACCGTTGACACAAATCATTCATTTATATTGACATTACTAATAGTATATTGATATTGATTGTTTATGAGTTTTATAATGCTAATCAAACCAGAGATAATCATCTATACTACTAATAAAAAGTGTATACTCTTAGGCCGTCAATTTTATCTTCTCCCAATTTTGAAAATCATTGCTTTAAATCTCTTAACTAGCTTTTATTTTTAATTAAAGAAATTAACTGTATATACACGTTTTTGTTTTCACAGTAACTACATATACATAATTAACTTTAGCGTTTAAGAAGTTAATTTGGTGTGAATTATAGTGGAAAGAAGAGAAATACGGATTTACGAGAAAGGTGAGAAGATTTGGCAGTATATAAAGTGAGTTAGTGTGATTTTTGGTGGCTGAGCCTCTGCTTCCTCTTTTGATTTTCTGTGTGTTTGTTTGAGATCAGTTCCAGAGAAGGCTCAATTGCTGTATGTCAGTGTACTGCGCCCAGACCTATTGGGGTGGCGGAATCGCTCAGATACCCAACCCTTTGCAATGGCCTCAGCTTCGGAAAAGGCGACGCCACCACACCCACCTTCCGCCTCTTGCTTCTCCTCCGCCCCCGACTCCGCCGCCATTCCCCGCGCCGCCTCCGCCGACCTCCCCCTCATTCGCCCCGTCGATTCCTCCGCCAATGCTGCTAAGGGTACCCCATCGCTTCTCTCTCTTTTTCTCCTCTCATTAAATTAAATAAATTTTAATATATACAATATTCTCAATTGCAGTTCAAAAATATATACTCTGCTTCTGCTGATGCTATGTCAAATCGTACCTGCTAAATGAATCTGTGCTTGCATGTATTCTTCCACGTATGCTTTTCTTCGTGGAAATAATGCTCTCAACACTCGTGTTATGTTTTATAGAAATATTTTCTATTTTTTTCTTTTAGTATATATAACCACCTTCGTCGATATACATATACATCTTTTGCATACTATCCTATATATGCATATATAGGTTTTGGATACTATCCTAAGAAAGTGAACCTTACAAAACCAGGTTATTAGGAAAGATTATTTCTCATTTATAAACATTATTATATACATAGATAGGTTTTGCATACCATCTTAACAAAGTGCTTCTGGAAAGGAGTTGAAAGTGGCTGATTTTGTTTCTCTATCTGTTTTGCTCGTGCAGCTGAATGTGTTGTGTTCTTCCTTTTTTCCAATTAGTTGTTAATATTTTTATGATAGAAAGTAACAGAAATGCTTTTCTCGTTAATTGCTGCTCGAATTGGTTGGTGGTGATTTAAGTCGGGACATAGCACTATAACTATCGGCATTTATTGATGATTTCAAAAAGTGTTTTTAGTTTTTGAGATCATTAATAAACCTAGGCAAAACCAGCACAGCCCATGCCTCGCCACATACAACATCAATCTAGTTGACCCACACACTCGAGTTAGGACCACAATACAGAAGAAGAGAACGGGAGAACATCGCTTATCTGTTTCTGTTTTTGGGTTTTTAAAACAGTTTTCAGAACTTAGTAAATTTTGGATGAAATGTTGATTGTTGAGTAGTGTGAATTTGTTTAGAAAACAGTTTAATCAAAAAGTGAGAAGAAAATCACAGAAATTATTTTCCTATTTCTCATTTTTTTTTTCAAGTTCTTGAATCAGTGATCTGCTTGCTTTCACTTTATTAATATTAGCTAACTGTGTTACTGTATTTGGTGTAATGGTGCACAGGAGTCGCTTCAATGCCAAGGGCCCAGTCAAGCCACCCTTTGGACCCTTTAACTGCCGCTGAAATCTCTGTGGCT